ATGACCTTCCCTTTATATATTTATCTCAGAATAAAGTTTGTTCTTTCTGTATGACATTATTGAATTTAGCTTTGTGATCCAACCTAACTTGCAGATCCAGTTGTGACTGCTCGTACAGAAGCCCAGATTTTTTTCATTGTCTTTGAGTTATTTTTCTGCCTCTATTTCTCCACTGATTGCAAGAGAATTTTGACAGTGATCCATTCCTCCAAAGTGCTGGCAGCCCCTTCCAGCCTAATATCACTGCAAATTCAATAAGTAGTACAACTACTCCTTCAGCCAGGTCATTAAAGTAGAATTGAATGGGACTGGGCTGATGTTTGACCCAAAGAGCTACTTTTCCAAAAAGTTTAGTACTTTTCCATAATTTGACCTAGACCACACCTCAACAACTTTCTTATATAAGTATTATTTTGGGAAATCCAGAAATTAATTGCTTGCATAGGAAGGTCAGTTATATAATGAAAGCCCAGAAAGGCCAGGCCAAGTGATGTGGAAGTGGTGCTGAGGGCTCAGGCATCTGGCAAGATAACAGCTGCTTTCTCTGGCTCTGACTGGAGTAGGGGCTCTCGGGGCATCTCTTATTTTTTAATATTGAAGCAACTTCACTGGTATCTGGAGGAAAATGGAGAAGGAGTAGCTCATTCTTATCATCAATGGCTCTACTTGTGGGACTCTCCTGCCTCTCCTGGCACTTACCAGGCCTGGAGAAATCTCAAAGGACCCTCGGATAGAAGAAGGTACATCAGATAGAATTACCAGAAATTTCAGTACTTGACTGCTCAATGCTCTATTTCACTGAGTCATAATTTGCTGTTCCTAGGTGCAAACCTTCAGTATCCTCACTGCCCAACTGATAGCACAGAGGCCCTTTGGAGTTTCCACAGCGGGGTGTTTCACTGCTGAGGTAAGGTAATACACAGAAATCCTATAGCCAAAAAAGGTCACCTAAGCAAACTTTTTTTTTTTTTTTGGACAACAAAAGAAAGAAGGAAGCAATCTGCGTGAAAAACAAAGCTTTCCAAAGCTGAATTTCACAAAAATTCTTCTAAAATCTTGCACTCAGACAAAAGAAAAAAAGACCCTAAACAAACACCTTTACACAAAACACACCAGGAGAGAACGTTCCTGCTAAGTTACAAGACAGCCAGTAACATTTAACTGGATTAGCTGAGAGAAGGAAGAATGTGGGGCTGGGTTATACCCACCCTCATTCACAATAAACTGATCTCAACCACTAATTAAAATGAGAAACTTTTGTGGCATTTAGGGTACAATCAGCTGCCTCAAAACTACACACTGTTCCTCACATATTGAGGAATATTTTTGGTGCTTGACAAGATGTTTTTTTCAGGAAAGACTTTAATCTAAATACTAGGTGTTTGGGTGTTTTTGTTGTCGTTGTTTTATTATTTTTTTTTTTTTAGTATTTATACTCAAAGTGACACCTGGCCTTCCAAAGTAAACTTAACTGCAGGTTTTCTGCTATTTTTCCCCCTTCCTACCAAACACTTCACAAGAGAAATTTCTTTGTGTGCTCAAAAAATATAACAATCAGTAATAACAATGTTCTTAGCATCAGTTGATTTGGACTAATTTTGGGGAAAAAAAAAAGAAAAAAACCTCTTTGTTTTGCCTCATGGATTGTTCAGGAACTGCACACCAAGGTTCTTTCTGCTGGCTGCTGCAGAAATCACACAAATTGAATTGAACCTGCCCTTTGTTTACTTGCGTGGCAGGATTCCCTGCATCTCTGCTCTATTTCACACAGTAGGAAGTCAGCGTGGACTTTCCAAGGTCAATCTTGCTGCTGAAGACCAATGGGTCTCCTGCTGGGTAGGTGTCACAAGTTGAGTTTGTAGCAATGCAAACTTGTCAACTGCTGAGGAGGCTCCGGCAGTTTAAAGGCGTTTGGCCGGTGAAGACCCTCACTGCCTCAAATTCATTTCCTTCTCTGCAGGAGGTAACGAGGGAAAAAAGGATGAGACAGATGCAAGTGAAAGAATCTGTGAAATTGTCAGTTCTCTTATCAAAAAGGCAACAGGAGCGTAAAGTGTCCCCTGGAAGTACATATCGGTGGGCTTAACCTACAGTCTTGGATCTCAGCTCAACAAACTACTAGGGAAATTAGGATCTGACCTGAACTAATCTCCTAAGCAGATGAAAAGGCTGTATGAGGCACCTGGGGCTTGTGTTTCCACTCTGTAGTGTCTATTGCTGGTGAATTCAATAGTAGGCGAAAAACAATTAAAGTTTATTAGACCTGAGTTTCAAAATAGATGAAAAAATAACTTCAGCACTGATACATTGAGAAAAGAGTTTGGGATAAGGGTCCATGGAAACAGTCCCCTGGGAAGGGCTGTCACTGGGTGATGTGCATGAACATGGGGCACCGTGTAAGCAGCTTGAAAGTGGTAGAGCCGCATAAGAATGTCACTGTGCTGGAATCAAGAAACCCTAGTTTGTGACTTTTTGGTGGCAATTACTTTCACCCAACCAGCCTCTTAATTAATGCAGTTATTCTGGTCATGGGACAAATTTAGATGTCTCTCTATTGACCTCCACTGCACAGCAGAGAAATGGAAAGGTGATCAGCCATGTTCATTGAATTTATATATATCAAAAGAGCTTTATGAAGGTGATCAGTATTTTACAGATGTGCAAACTGATGTAGGACTTAATAAGGAGCTTATCCAAGTTTTCCAGTGGAGCAGCATCAAAGTCAAGACTGGAATTGAGGTCCCTGTGTTCTGATGCAGCTTTATAAGAACAACTCTGTTCTATAAAAAACGAGAGAGCACAAGCACAACAGGTTCTTCTGAGATCACATTCTGCTGTAGGATGCCAGAAAGTCCCCTGGGTTCTGTTTTAAGGCACAGTATGTTTCAATTCAGCATGATAATAACAAGTGGATTTTTTCCTGTTATTGTTATTATTTGCTTCACTGCACTTACATTTTCTGCATGTGTCCATTTTAGGTTGTTTTAGCAAAATATTTTATCATGTATTTAATTTTAAGCATATACTCTGAATGCCCAGGAACCTTAAAAGCATTTAAACTGCATGTTCAAAGTTAAGCAGATACTTAACTGAACAGAGACAGACAACATGTGCACTAAATATTCAGTAAGTGTGTGACTGTTTTGCAGAGTAAGATGTGCATAAATGAGAATAAATCTTTACATTTTAGTTCAGTAAGTATGCTTCCAGTGACTGCAGAGGGTTATACCAGGAGCTGGTTTTAATCTTAAGTGTTTCTTAGACATGTGCAGTCTCAGGCACGAAGCAGGAGGTTCACCCCCTCACTGCCTGGGTGTGGATCATCTGCACTGGTTCATGCAACTCTGCATCAGCCCTGGTTCTCTGGGGCTCGAGATTTGACATTTGGTCCACTGAGTATGGCACATGTGATCCTGAAGTGGGGAAGGTCGTGATGTTGCCCTGACCACTAATGTCACAGGGACACCTCATAATCTTTTAAACCTCTTAAACTTTTAAAGAAAGCTAGGTAAACCCTAGGTTTACTACTCTCATGTGACATTAGTATAGAAGAATCCACATTTTTGGAAAGACATTGGATGTATATTTAACTACCAAAGCTGCCTCTGTGGGAAAGGGAAGAGCTAAGCAACCCCAACCAGGCATTGCATCCCAAATTTCAAACGGAGAAGGGACTAATTGACTCCAGTTATTATGATTTTGGGTCAGGATTGTGTGGCCACCTGCAGCCTAGACAGGTGAATTTTGCTCTCCAGGTAAACACAGGTTCTGGAGAACCCTTTTTCTAAAGGTCTCATTTGAGGCTATAGTCAATAAGTGGGTGAAATATGTGTCAACTTAATGATGGTGAAAATTGAAGATGTCCAGTAAAGCAGTTGTAATTGTGTTTAATGCTGAGACAATGAACCTAGTTAAGATTCAATTTGGTCTTCCCCTTTGTTCCCCACTTCCAGTAATAAATGGTTAATTACCAGTTTCAAAGGCTCAGTGTGATTTGTCAGCTTGCAGAAATCACAGTGATCACCATACTGTCAGGAAGAAGTGTGACCCCTTTATTTTTCCAGATGAAAATATTTATTCTTTTACAGAAAATGCTAAGCAATCTCCTGGCTTGAACTATCAAGCCATCGCCTTTCCCCTCATGTTTGGCAGGAGTGGGAACTGACAGGATGTGCCCATCTGCTGAGTGCCATGAACACAGGCCTCCCACATTGCAGCCACAACCTCTGTATTGATGTCTGTGTGACCCCTTCAGCTCTGCCACCACAAGGTACCTGGCAGGGCAAAGGCCAGCACCGACTGGTCCCATCACCACGAGATAGTGCAGCCCCTCAGTAAGATCCCACATTCAAGCCTCATTTGAGCTAACTTGTAGCTAAATTTGCTCTCTAAACATTTCTATTGCCAAAAGCCTCAAAACCTGCAAACCCAAACCCACTCAACTCCTGCCTGATCCATATTTGCTTGTCTTCGAGGAAGGACAAATATTGCCATTGGTGACTGGGCTGAGATGCTCCCTTTGCTCAAAGCAGTGACCCCTACATTAAAGAAATGGGGTATTTTAAAAAGTTGTTGCAAACCCACTATTCATTAGTTATTGCCTATGTTTAAATTGTTCAGTGGATCCTGGGGGAACCTCACCCTGAAATTTTCACAGCTTGGGGCAGAAGCTGTCAAGTAAGCTAGTTGCATATATGGTTGTTGACTAGTATATATTGTAGTCCCAATTAATTTGAGCATTACAGTTAGGATTTTTTGTTGCTTTATTTATTAGGGATTGCTGAAACAGACTGAATTTGCACAATCAGGTACAAGATATCAGTGTTGTACTTTTGTTGCCTATGACATTAATCGAGATTTCCTGCAAACAGCAATAACTACTGGTTCTCTGGGCCAAAGACACTGTGAGCAAAAAAATTAACAGCACCTTGCTATGGAAAAGCTGAGTGCATTTTAGATAGAGAGTAGTACTCATCTATTTTGTTTTACTATATGTTTTACTTCAAAACTCCAGGTACTTTAAATATGTGGATGAAAAAAATAATGATTAAAAAAGAAAAAGTCTGAGGAGACATAATGGGGCATAGAAAAAACACAGTAAAATTTCCATTTTGTAGCCTGCTCTTCTTTTCATGCTCCAAGTTTCCTCAAGGAAGTAATCTGCTGACCGGGATTATTACCCAAGATAGCTTTCTCAAATTTAACAATCTTCTCCCTGCAGGACAAAGAAAGGGAAGGTTGTATCCCGGTAACTGGGAAATGTGTGGCAGGGTCAGGGTAGATACTAATCTGCTAATCCTGCACTTTACTGCACAAAACCCATGTGTGCAAAAGGCATTTGCATATTTTCTCTGTCCCTGGCCAAATCATGTTAATAAGACAATTACAATTGCACCTTCGCCCTTGCAGCTGAAAAAGAAAGAAACCCAGAGCCGCTTCCTTCCCTTTACAAGTGTTCCTCTAACTTTCAGAAACACTGACAAGCACCATTGAGGTCAACAAATTTAGGAAGACTCATAATTAGGATGCAGTGTCATTGAGCTGTGTTCTCAGAATTTAACAAAACAGATTACAATTTACGTAGTTCTTGCAAGTTGCTTTTAACAGTGAACAATAGGGTTACTCAGTGTTGCTGGTTTTTCTCAGTCATTTCATCTCTTAACCTGTCCTTCTACTTATTTCCTGTTCAGCATAATAATTGAAGTTGGCATAACAGATATTCTGTAACTGACTCATAAGCAAGTAAGCAAGGGGTGTTTCTCTTAGGGAATATATTTGATTTATAATCCTTTTTCATCATTAAACCCCCTAAAAAGTCCCTAATTGCACCCATTTCTCTTAAACTTTTGGTACCTCCTTGTACTACAGAGTCTCCATTCTGGCTCATCTTCTCTCTGTAAGGCAGAATGCTTCCACAAACCTTAACTAATTACCAAAATGAGAGCTGAAAAGCAAAACAAGAGGTATCATTACAATCTTGAAGGCATAGTGTAGGATCTGTCTGCAATCTAATGACTTTTGCAATTACACCTTGATTGAACCTGGCGATGAAGCTGCAGCCCCTTTCTTGAGTACTGTTTACCGATGACTAACAGGTACTCATCAACGTGCTGTGACCCAGACCTGATTGAGGATTATAGTCTGCACTGGTGAGAAAGGAGAAGCCAAGACTGGGGGAGCATTTCCCTAGATTCTAAGGTTCTTTGATTTTCCTCGTACTCTTTTCAGCAAGTGTCTTGCATTGGACTTGCAGTCTACCAGTAGGGAGTGAGGAAAGTTATCCAACATTTTTGCTTAAACAAATACTGCTTTGGTAGAGCGCCTAGAAGCCTTTGTCAGGAACAGGTCCCAAGAAAAAGCATTTTCTGCATTCCAGAGTAAGCTAAAGAGCTACTCAAAGAAACAGTCAGGAAAACATTTCATTAAGACCCTCTTCGCTTTGAAGAAAAATTGAGGCCTGGGAGCACAAATGTCACAGAGAAGATCCTGAACAAGAGCTGAAAGGAGAACCCACTTTTTTCTGGTTTTAGATGAACTCCATGTGGTGTGTGAATTTGGCAGGGAGGACTGATTTATGCATCTTGACACATACCAATTCCAGATCCTGGCTCCATTTGCTATCTGTGGCCTATGGCTGCCTTTAACCCTATTTTAGGTGTGTTATGATTTTTTTTCCTCCCACAGCTATAGATGATTCTGAGTCCTCAGAGCCCTTAATGGGCTGGGATGCTAATTGCTTTCTTGAGATCTGATAGCAGGTCCAGTCATACAAGACAGTGTAAAAATAACTCACGGCTACTATAGAACTCCTTTGCCTCTCAGGCCTGAATCTGGGCCTGCTGAAGATCATGGATTATTTTTAATTTACTGTGATGGCCTTTGGATTAGGCATTAAACTGCTGCCATTTCTGCTCTCCTCTTTCTGCTGTCAGTGTTACTTTGTCAAACATGTGGAAACATCATGTTTTTAAAAATCAATAGCTTTTAGAGAAGTAATGAAGGAAACTTAAGTTACCAGTTTGGAGAGATGGAGAGAGGATTTAAAGGTGTGAAGACAATGACTAACAAATCAGTCCTTCCCTCCGGTCTGCTGTCACTGAAGTCCAGATGGTACTTGAGCATCTCAGAGGCTGAAGGCAAAGACCCCCCAGTTCAGACAGACGGTTCATTATGGTGCAGAGCGAGGACCAGCTGCACAGAGGAGGGTGTCTATTACCTTGTTGCTCAGCTGCTTCCTGCTGAAGTCTGCTACATGCCCATTGCTTTGGTAAAGGTTAACTCGTGCTGCGGAGATTTAATTGTCTATTATCTGCCCAGAAGGAACTAATTATCATAAAAAGAGCAATACAAAAATCTTCTTTTTCTGGCTATTTTTTTGTTGAGTATTTTTGAAAGAAACATGTACATTTGTCAAACTCATGAATGACCAAAAGAAAGATAACGGCGGTAATGTGTTCATTGAGGGAGGAGACCTTGGGTCACGCAGATCCACCAGCAATGAATCTAAATAAAGTCAGGGAGAGTATCACTGACTACTGCAATTATTATTGCAGTGATTGATCATGTAGTTGATAAGCTAATGTGGCGATGTGCGTGGTCTGAAGGTCAGCAGCACAGCTGGTGAGGTGGAAAACCATGCTGTTGTGATGGGATGGGCTGATGCTTCATGGTCTGATACACAGTTCTTGTAAATCAAGATTGATTTGGATTACAGTGCTGTCCTGTATGTGGTAGCTCTGCAGGATTGGTCAGAAGTTTGTCCAACTTCAGCTTTTTCAAGTTTGGTTACTAACTTTTATTGATTCCTTCCTTTAGTTTTAGATGGAATTTAGGTTTCAGAAGAGAAATAGAATGGATTTATCTATTTCTATTAAAAAAAAGAGTGACATAAGAAATCCTTTTGTAGGGATATGACTAGTTTTACTTACTTCCAAGGAATACAAAGAGATTTAATAAGTGATTTGGAGAGGAGAGTAGTGTAGTGAAATTTCTGGTAGTTCACTCACTCATGGGCAAAACAGAAAGAGGTGGGAGACCTGAGGTGAATGCTAGATAACCCGTAAAAATGAAGAAAATAGTACAGAATATTAAAACATAAATCATGCTAAGGACACCTTTCAGTGCAGATTTATATATGTTTTTTTCCAGAAGTTCAAAACACTTAAGATTACAGATTAAGTCAGTGATTTAGAAGGCCAGAGTTATGAACATATGACATAATTGAAGAACAGAAAACTGCTGAAGGAGTATAAAGGACCTCTATGCTTTTCTGTTCCCACAGCCATGACTCTCACATCCAGGTGTAACCCATTGCTGTAGTTCAAACTGAGAAGAGCAGGAGAGACATGGGCATTTTGTTGCAACTGCTGAATGCAGGGCAAAGCAAGGCACTCAGAAAGAATGAAGAACTGGAAACTCTTGCCACAGTAACAACTGTAATTATCATTTTCTTATTTATTATACATAATCAGCAACAGGGACACGAAGTAAGGTTTGTCCCTGAGTTATGACCCGACTTGGTAAAATGTCTGGATGTGCCAAATCTAGTTACACTGCACAAATTAACATTTTCTTTTGCTTCTCAAATTTCCTTTCTGGACGTTTTGAGACCTTATATGTTTGGGACAAGCTTTCTTCTGGTACTAAATTATTCAGACTGAAATCACATAAAAATAGAAGATTAGACAGTTTTAAAGGCAACTAGAAATCTGAATACCATCTTTATTTATTATCAAATAGGGAACAAATTTGAAGCTGCTTTACTGCATTGTTCTATAAATATTGACTAAAGTATTACTGTACAAAGAAGAGTGTAAGTTATTACTCAGCCCTCTAAAAACAGAAAGGGAGAATCTTTCATTCATTTCATTGTATTGCCAGAGTCTTAGAAGTCATTCATTCTAGGAAGAAAAGACATCTTACAGGTAATTTACTGTATTTGTGCCTTCTATCCCATGGGTTATAATGCAAGATAAAGTGTCAGCTTGTGCTTCCAGTCTTCATTTGTCTTAGATTATTCCATCCTCTTTCTCTGAGGTACTCTTCAATGTAATCATTATGCTCCAGTTTGGCTCCCTGAAGAAAGACTGAATGGTATTATTGCAATTAAGGCTTTGGTCGGCTCCTTCACGTGAGGGTCTTTTCTCTTCCTGGAAATAAATAGTGAAGCCAAGAGAATATTTGCTGTTACGGTGGAGACAGTGTTCTGAGATCCGTTTGTACTCCCAGGAAGGAGAGGGGTACTGTGGTGGCAGTTCCTCATCATCACAGGTTGTTGCTGTACATGGAGAAGGGCCAATGGAATAAAGACATAGTTTCTGAATTTGAGATGCAGCCAAGTCTTTTCCTGTAAAAAGTCAAGAAGTATGTCTTTGTAGACACTTCCTTTTATATGTAGGATTCATCCGTTTGTCAGTGTCTTCTGTTAAACTGAGCACAATACCACATGCAAGGTTGTGACAGTAAACCATCATGGAGACCACTGTCTCTTATGAACCAAAGAAGAAAACCTTAGTGGAAACACAAAAGTGGTGCCCAACATCCTCTTAAGGTTCTGCCACTCAATTGCTATATGTTGTACTGACATTCAGCTTTTCACATACTGGAAATATAAAGCTCATGAAGTGTCAGTCCTGCATACCCTGGAACACGGGCACCTTTTGGAGAAACCTGGTGGCTATTTGAAATTATGATTGCAGATGTGGATGATATTTGTGTTATTTTCAGTTAAAGCAGTGAGTGCCTTTGGCCCAAGAGAGAAGAATCCCATTTATGGACTGGATTCACAGGTGAGTGTGTAAAACCCACCTGTTTTACACACTCACAAACATTCATGACTTTCCTCAGTGAACTTGTCAGCAGGACAGATGTTGTAAACTCCCTCTATGTTAAAAAGCCCCAGTAAAACAGCCCTCTCATGCTCTTTATGTGGACACATGTTATTTCTCTACTGAGGGCTCAAAAATGTGCCGGGTGTTGGCCTGCAGACAAAGGTCCTTGTCTCCCAAAGGTGGGAGACAGAAATCAAACGTGTGATGTTTCTGGAGGGATCTGTGGAAAGTGGGGGGCATCTCCTCCCTGGACAGACAGGGCCAATGAACGCTTTTTTTTCTCAGTAGTTAGAAGCATGACTGAAAAGATGCTGTTCAAGGGAGATCTTTGGTCACCAGGGAACTACCTTTTTGGCAGTGCTGGCCACAGACTGCCAAAGAAGGGTCCAGCCCCCTCCCGAGGGCTGTTGGGTTTTTTTTCCTTTGAAGAGGGAAGAATCCACAGCACAGAATTATATGGATCAGGCTGTGGGATCGTCTGCTCATGGCTCTCACTCTAACTCTCCTGTGCCTCTGTTCACCACGTAAAAAGAGGAGCTAACAGTTGTGTTGTACCTGTTTTATAGTAAAAGCATCTCTAGCTGTAGGCACGCAGCACAAGAGGATCTCACCACTGTCCAAAAATCCTTCCTGCTTCTCACACATTAGAGGGGAATCAATGGTTAACACATCTATGACCTTCCCCTCAAAAGAAATGTAAAGTTTTTCTATGTGCATGGAAAAAACAATCTTCTGGACTGAGAGAGCAGAGAAAGACAGATAGAAGGCAAAAGAAAAGCATTGGTGGGGTATGGCATGAGCTCATAGCAATAATTCCATTCTAAAATGGAAGTAGGAACTGTCTGAGGAAGTTCAGTGCCCCCATTTCTTACCTCCCTGGAACCCTGATCTTGCAATACCGGTTTGCAACCTTGTGTCCCTGCCACAGCCTTGTAGAGCTTGGGCATATCTCTCAGCGTAGTCCTAACAATGCACACACCACTCAGTTAAGCCACACAGCTGTTTTAACATTCTCCTGAACTGTTTTCTAGGGCAAAGTTAAGTTTTTTTGGATGTCTTAAGGAGTAAGGTTATAATATTTTATAAATGTAATGTGTGTATATATAAATATGTTTATAATGATTTTTCTTACTGGAATATTCCTCCTGAAATAGTTTATTTGGAATGTATGGGATAATTTCTCTACCTTTGGAGAAAAGTAATTTTTTTATCTTCTTTCTGTGAATACAATGCTATTTTATTCTATTCCTTATGCCACGGTTACCCCTGGAGGTATCATTACCTCCAGTACCAGCCGACATTAAATGCCCTGTCTAAGCCCAGAGACAGAAATTAAAGTGGAACTAAAGAGTGATATGACACGTACCCAACTTCAGCTCAGGGTATTCTGTCCCTCCCACTCAGCAGCTTTTCACCCTGTCCTCTTCCCCCAGAAAGGTGTAAGACCTCAGTAAATCTAACTGAACTCTGCAGGTATGGAGCCCTGGAGACTGAGCTCACAGTTAAATCAGGGCTTTGTTGTCAAGAGATGTCAGCGTGAGGTCATGCCGTGTTACAGCAAGAAGGTTCATGATGCCACCTTAACAAGGTAGCCCTAAGCTCTGTTTCAGGGCATAAAAGGACTGGAACAACTAGGAGGAAATCCATCGAATAAGATGAAAGAACATCACACACACATGCACACACACACACACAAAAAAAAAGGAATGAAAACCCCACTGTGATGTACTAGACTATGAAGCACAAAAGAAACAATGAAAGTAGTAACTTCAGAGAGTGCTACTCCTTGTTCAGGCCTGCCTTTGATCTTTCTTTTTGATTTCCACAAGGGTGTCTTCACAGCTCTTGGGTGTGGAATTGCTGGTACTGAATCTTCACCCATTTGATGGCCAAACAGACCTCCCTGCCCGTATGATGTACTTTTGCTATGGTATTTCTGCATCACACAGCCCCCGAGTCAGCCACAGCCCCTGTAGTGCAAGCAGAGTGCAGGTAGATGCTGAGTTTCAGAAAGGGAGGGCTGCCCTTGCCCAGCCTTGGAACACAGGTAGTTTATAAACTCTTCCCCTTTCCTGTGCCATTGCTGCAGGCTGGTCATGGTGTCTGTGCTCAACATCTTCTGGGTTTCTTTTCCTAGGGCAAGCTCATGTGCATCTTCATAGACCTCCCACCTGGCTTTAATTAAGAAGTATTCCCTCCTTCTTTTTATGAGAAGTGGGTGTGGTTATCTGAAATCAAGAAAGGGATGGTGTTTCTGTCATCTCAGAGAGTATACCAGCTCTGGAAAGTAAGGCAGTGTTAACAAGTATATA